AGATTTGAATAGACATCCATCAAAAGAAAACATATAAAAGACAAGCATATGAAAACGTGCTCAACATCATTGATCATCAGAGAAATGCAAATCAAAACTTCAGTGAGATACCATCTCACCCCAGCTAAAATGGCTCTTATCCAAAAGACAGGCAATAATGAATGTTGACAAGGAGGTAGTGAAAAAGGAACCCTCATATACTGTTGCTGGGAATTTAAATTAGTGTGACCGCTATGGCGAACAATTTGGAGGTTCCTCAAAAAACTAAAATTAGAGCTATTATAGGATCCAGCAGTCCCACTGCTGGGTACACCCCACCCCAAAAAAAGAAATCATTGTATTGAAGAGACACCTGCAATCCCATGTTTGTTGCAGCACTGTTCACAACAGCTAAGATTTGAAAGCAACCTAAGTATCCATCAGCAGATGAGTAGATAAAGAAAAGATGGTGCATATACACAATGGAGTACTATTTGGTCATTAAAAAGAATAAAATGCTATCATTTGCAACAATGTGGATGGAACTGGACATCATTACTTTAAGTGAAATAAGCAAGTACAGAAAGACATCACATGTTCTCACTTTTTTGTGGGATCTAAAACTCAAAACAATTGAATTTCAGGTCATAGAGAGTAGACTGATGGTTACCAGAGGTTGGGATGTGCAGTGGGGGTGTAGGGAGAGGTGGGAATGATTAGTGGGTCCAAAAAAAAAAGAAAGAATTAATAAGACCTACTATTTGATTGCACAACAGAGTGTCTATAGTCGATAATAACCTAATTGTAAATTTTAAAACACCTAAAAGAATGTAATTATTATAACACAAAGGGTAAATGCCTGAGGGGATGGATACCCCATTCTCCATCCTATGATAATTACACATTGCATGCTTATATCAAAACATCTCTTGGCCGGGCGCGGTGGCTCAAGCCTGTAATCCCAGCACTGTGGGAGGCCGAGGTGGGTGGATCACGAGGTCAAGATATCGAGACCATCCTGGTCAACATGGTGAAACCCCGTCTCTACTAAAAATACGAAAAATTAGCTGGGCATGGTGGCGCGTGCCTGTAATCCCAGCTACTCTGGAGGCTGAGGCAGGAGAATTGCCTGAACCCGGGAGGCGGAGGTTGCGGTGAGCCGAGATCGCGCCATTGCACTCCAGCCTGGGTAACAAGAGCGAAACTCCGTCTCAAAAAAAAAAAAAAATCTCATGTATCCCATAAATATATATATATTACTATATACGCACAAAAATTTCTTTTAAAAACAAAATAAATAATAATTTTTAAAAACAGAATAAAATACAATCATAAAGACTTTAACAATTTACAGAAGAGTAAAATCAGTGAGGATTGCTGTAATCCAGGAAAATTTTCTGGAAGAGCAACAGCACAGAAGAATAAAAGGAAAGATGGAAATAAAAATAAATAAGTAAATAAATAAATAAGAAATAAAATTAAAATACAATAAATTTCTCTACCCCGTTGGCCTCAGTAATTTAAAACATACTCTGAGGAGACAGTTCTCTATTTTTATCTATTATGTTTGGACAGCAGGAAATTAATTTCCGTAAAATAGAGTAAATCTAGTGAAAGGTTTTTAGTGTATTTAATCTAAATGGAATAGTTTCTATTTATTGTATTTTTCTAGGGTATATTCTTTTAACACAAGAAATTTTAGTGTGAATTTTTTGAGGGCTTAATCTTACATGGAGGCATTTAATAGAGTTTCAGGAATTTCTGTAGAAAATCTGGAGGTACATAGAAACTCTGGTACTTGGTCGATTTTTAAGTTTGAAAATAAATAAAAACGTTTTTCTAATTTTTTGTCTTTTTGCCAGTGGGCTTTTTATATGTATCTGAAAGGGCTTCTGAGGGTTGCTTTTGCCTTTGAGTTTCATTGATGATGCTTTTTAGTCTCTTATAGGTCTATCTGGGAATGAAAAAAGTTAGAATTTTTATTTCTTTTGTAAGCCTCTTCTTTCCACAAATATTATGACTGCCTTCTCGCCAAAATGGAAAATTTCCAGATTTTTCTCTTAGGTATTTTGGGATAGCCTGCTCTCAGGACAAAGCAGACAAAAAACTCACTAGTTTGAGGGTAATTTCTGATCACCAATTCCAAACTATCTTGGGTGATACAACAGTAGTTTAATATAAGCTAAACAGAGATGGAATTTCTTCTTGGCAGATCAACTGAGGACCCCACTCTGTGGGGTCTAACCTAAAAGACTAATCTGATTATTCTCAAGTACAGGTGGTAAGGGTTAAGAGACAGGCAAAAATACAGTCAGACTCATCCTAGAATCTTTACTGGAAAATATAAAGCATTTCTGAGCTCAAGTGTGGAGCAATGGTATCTTTGAGCAGCAGATACGGAGAAAACTCTGAAAGTACAGTCATGTGTGAATTCAGCCCACATCCTATATTCCACCTCCATTCTTCTTAGGATCTTACAAACAATGCCAAATTGTTTCACAAGAATGACCAGACTCAAAAGTTTTAAATAAGTGTTTGCCATTTATTAGAACTGCTTGTCAGGAAGAAAAGAGAATGCCCATCAGCCAGGGACTGGGAACCACTTCACCCATTGCTCAATAAAATTACAAGCTTTATTTTATAACTTAATATATCCAAAAAGTCCCTAAAATTTGTCTTGATGAGCAGTATAGAAAGTGAAACTTGAGAAAAAATGAGAGAAACTGATGCTGTGCTGGGGAAAAGAAGGTAGACCTTATAAAATAGCAAACTCCAAAGACGATATTTGATGGATCATCTTTGAAGTTTATTAAAAATAAATATGGACAAATATACATTTTTAAACAAAGGAAATCACAATCGCTTGTTAAGAAGAACAACATGAAGATCCCTAAAAGAATAAAAATGTACATTTAAGGGAATAAAACTTTAAGTATTTCTTAATTAGTTGCATTTTTTTCACTTTAAGAATAGTGAATCTTCTACTTTTAATTATGCAAATGTTGATTTCATCATTAAATTGAGACCAATTTGAGAGTCAAAACTAAAAGTACATTTTCATTATTTGGATGTGGTGACTCGAGGTGGATTGGAGAAACAAGAATGACTCCCGAGTTTATGAATTGAGCAACAAGACAAATTGCGGGTGCTAATTACTGGGGCTAAGAGGATGAGGGAAAAGTTGGGTAAAGAGATTTGGAGTTAATTTGGGGACATTTTGAGCCTGAAATGGCTGAGTAATCCGAGAGAATAGAATAAATATGTAATTTAATATGTCAGTCAGAGAACAAGAGGCAAATCCTGCTTATGCCATATTCATGTTTCTTTTTTGAATACACGTGGAGCCAGGGAAATGGCAATCTGCATCTTAAACCTGGAATTCACAAGCATTTTTCCTCTCCAAATACTTCCAAAGTAGAAAGTCTAGAAACATTATATCTCAACTGAACCCAAGACCAATACTTTCTTCCAAATATTAAAATCTGTTTCTTTTTTTTTTTTTTTTTTTTTTTTTTTTGAGGCAGAGTCACTCCATCACCCAGGCTGGAGTGCAGTGGCACGATCTCAGCTCACTGCAACAGGTTCAAGTGATTCTCATGCCTCAGGCTCCTGTAAAATTTGTTTCCTTGTCATACTTCTTAAGCCAGCAAATTTATGCATTCCTCCTTGAAACCTGGCTTCTGTCAAAATCCCATCCTCTGCTAACAAACATGTCTAAATGTCAATGAAAATTCCTAAGATATAAACAGTAAATTTTCACACCAGACATTTAAGCCCCATGCAAATTAAAAGTCACACATATAAATTGGTCATTTAATGCATGGCCTTTGATCCATTGGTTTGGGCTGGGATTGTCATTGACCTAAGAAACAATGAGTAAATGCCAGTAAAGTATATATGAAAAAAAAAATAGAGAGAGAAAGTAGTGAAAATGGCAAAGAAATATTACAGGGCAGAGAGCTGAAGAAGAAACTCCAAAACTGACTGAGAAAGAACACCCAGAGACCAAAAGCCAAGGCAAAAAAAATGATTTCAAAAAATTGAGAAATGTTGTAAAATGCTAGCTAAAGGCAAAGCAAATGGTAAAATGTAAAGAATGCTTACATTTTTCAACAAGAAAGGCACTGGCAACCAAAAGCAAGGCCATTTCAGTGGAGTGACAGCACAAAAACCAGATTTCTCTTAGTTGAGGTAAAATCGGGACTCTAGAACTTGGAGGACTTAGTTGGGAACACTAGTTCTAGAAGTCTGGATCCAAACGGGGAGAAATGGGACATTAACCATAGAAGGGGAGTAGATATAACACAATGAAAATTTCTAAGCATTCCAAGTACTAGTTGTGAACTAAGTTTGAACTTGGGGGACAATATTCCTCGATTCTCAGGAGTGAATGGACATGAAGCACAGTGTCCAGCCTCTGTGCAAAATTCCTTTCTAGCACCATAACCACCATTACCTCTGTCACACATCCAGAAATGGTCCTCGAGCCTCAAAGCAGGAAGAATGGCCAGTGACAAGGCTGTTTATTCCACTTAGAATGTTTTACCCTAGTTTGTTTAATAAACTTCTATACTCACTTTCATCCCTCCGTTTTGTTCTGGTTCTTCCTGGAAACTTACCATTGTGGCAAACATACCAGGTTAGTTCTCTGGATATCAAAGGCAGTTCTGTTGTCTCTATCCTGAACCTACAAAGTTTACTTGTAGGACTTGAGCATCCAGACTCGATACAGTTGTCACCTTCCCTCTGCAGCCACCAGAATGGTGTCAAAACGGAACAGAAAGGTGATCCTCCCCTTTCTCGTCACACCTGTACTGAGTGATGCCACTATCTTACTGGCTTTATTGGCCAGTGACTGTTCCTATACTCCATAGCTTCCCAGCTCCCAACTTAATCTCTCTAGATCAGTGATGACTACCCACAGATGAAAGACACACACAAGAAGGAATGCATTTTTTTTATAGGGAAAGCATTCCAGAATGGAGGAGAAATTACTACAGAGGAGGTGACGCTGGTGATATTCAAATGTGAGCGTAGCTTGAGCTGTTCATAACTGACAAGTTGGAGTTAGAGTTGTAATTCTCCTTCACATTCTTAGAGCTGGTTGTTTTCACAGAAAGTTTCAGGCAGCACTTTCGATCATTTGGGCAGGTTAAGTATTGGATTTCATATTCTCTACAGGTGTTTCTGCATACGCCTTTGTAAAGCTCACATGGATTCCAAGACTCTCGGCTCTTGCCTTTGTGGGATCTGAACAGACCACCTGGGAAAGACATAGCCATGTTTAGTTTCCAGCGGCAGTGATGATAGGATGACGAAGCATGATTTAAAAGAACATGCCCTTCCTAAGAATATTAAGGGCACAAGATCTGGAATCAAAACTACCTAGATTCAAATCTGGGCTCTGTCATTTACTGTCTCTCCCTCCTCCAGCAAGTTACTTTGGCTCTCCAGTCCTCCCTTGCATCATGTTCACAACGAGCATAACAATGGAGCCAAGTTTCTAAGGTTTTAATAATGACTAGATTATATAGCGTGTTCAGAAAAGCATCTGGCATGTAATAAGTAAGTGAATATTAGATGGTGTAGTTGATATGAAAGTCTTCTGCTGAGAGTATGAGGTTTCAAGGGATGCCTCTGTGAGCACAAAAGTCCCCATGTACCTGCAGAGATGTGTGCCCCTCACATCACAGCTAATCAGAGGCAGCCAGGATCTACTCTGAGACAGCACACAAATATTTGAACCCACATGCATGCATGCCTTTATCCTTTGAAACATTGAAGCAAACAAGTACTATACATATCTCTCTTTGTACATTGGCCTTATAGAAACAGGTACTCTGCATACACGGACAGCGTACTGGCATATACACAGACTCATCTTCACAACCCACTTTATTCACAGATCCACATTCTCACATAAATTGAATGTGTGTTCACTGTACAAACCTTCACCATGCACTTTTCAAATATTGCTAAAGCGCATCTTGATAGCTATGTATAAGTCATCCAGGTGTGTACATGGGTGAAGATAGGACCTTTGCCTGAAAATACCCCAGTGACAAAGTTCCTGACACTTAATTAGCATTCCATAAATACTAGTCATCAGTAGTATTACTTACCTATTTGATGTTCTACAGACCGAGGAGCAATTAGAAATATTAGTAATAACTACCATCTACTGTGGTATGGTCCAGCATCAACTATGTACCAGGCATTTTACAAATGATATCTCACTGAACCTCATAAAAACCTGCTATTATCTTCACTCTTTAGATGAAGACACTGAAGCTCAAATAGATACTTTGTTTTGTCCGCAGTCTCATAGCTTATATTTAATTAAGCCAGTATTCAATTCCTGCTCTACATGGTATCAAGCCCGTGCTCATTCCTCTGCGTCACATTGCCTCTCTTTGATAGGTTTTCTGTGACAGGATGGCATCATCCTGCACCATGTCTGCGTGCACAGGGTCTTCTCCAGATTTCAACAGATACTTCAAAATCCTAAGCATGGCATTCAAGGACCTTTTCAACCATCCACCCACCCCCTCATTCCACACCCATTTATGAACATTCACTCTGTGTAAGTCCATGTACTCAGTGCTAAGTAGATAGAGGTCTCCAGTTAATCAATCGAATTTATTCACTATTAACATTGATGCAAATGGGACAAAGCAAATTTAGTGTTACTTCTTGCATGGAAAAAATGAACACCTTGCTAATTTTTAGATACGAGAAAGTAAAATGTCCAATTTTCGGTGAGGTTGGAGAATGGGAAGAGAAATAAAGAAAAGAGAGGCATCTCCATGGCAGATATCCCATAACATGTGGGTACTGACGTGTGAATAAACTGCCCCAGGAATCCAGAGAAGGATCTCAACTGCTGCAACACCAACCAGACTGCTGGTCAACCAGAGGAAGGAGGTTGAAAATGATACCGATTCATCTGTGCTCCGGCATAATGATGCCACTGTGTTTCCCACCTTAATCTTCACCCTTATCATGGGACCTGCATGCACTCTCTGTCTCAGCACTGTTATACTTATGGGAGAAGAAGATCTGCAGAGAGCCTCCCCCAAGTGACATCCATACTTTTCTGGCTAACACTTGACCTCTAGAAAGTTTCCTTTCTACCAAACACACTGGAGGGCAGTTGGAGATCCAAGATCTCCTGTCTGTAGTCACTGGAGGGATGGATAGAAACATAGATACCAAGAATGAGGATCATAGATATTTACAGTTTCTCACTCCCACAGCTTTTCTAACCTTAAATTGCCCTGCATTGCCACAAATTTTGACGCCCACATCAAATTAATGTCAACTTTAATAATCTCTCCAACTTCCAGTTGAAGTCAGAGAGGACCAGCTTTTGCATTTCAGCATAGTCTCTGACCCTCTGCACAATGTTATATTTTAACTCTCTGGACCCAGTCTCTCCAGATCAGAAAATGGGAATGGGAGAGTTCGCACCAAATCAGAAAATCTCCACTGTGTTTGTGAAAAAGAAGGTTAATAAGATGTCATACTTAATAACCTGGGAAATTTTTAAGTATATTCATACTAAGTCTCTAGAATTTCTGACTCAGTATATCTAAGGAGAGGCCAGAACAAGGGTGCTTTGCAAGAGTTCCCCAGAAAATACGAATGAGCTTCTGTTTGCAGTAAAAGCCACAATTCTGCCTGGCCTTCTCACGTTCAGCTCATTTTGCCACCTTAGAAGTGTTTCAAAAACAAATTAAAATGTCTTAATTCAGAAAACAAAAGACATTTTCTGGACCTTTTAAAAAATTCCATTCCGAGCTCAAATCAATGTGATGCATTATTTCCCTGCCTGCTGCGCAACCAAACATCCTCTTCCATCCAATTTCTAAGGTTCTTTCTACTCACACACATTTATTAGCCATGATTCATTACATATTCATTCAATAAGAATTTGCTAAACCTACTCTATGCAACAAACTCAGCTCAACATCAGAAATATGTATATTTAAAAGACAAAGTCTTGGCTTTCAAACAGTTTAATTTCATATGCATACCTTTGGGAGGATGAAAGGAAAATTCTGTTTGGATTGTCCTAATAGAATAGGTTGTGCAGAACAGTTCCTGCTCATAAATTCTGCCAAGTAAAAGTACTCAATAATTATTAAGGAAGCTACACTATGTACAACTCTTGAAGCATAGAGTGCTGTCTTCATTTTTGTTGTCGCTTCTTGCAAACCCACCTGTGGTTTCTAGCACTATTAGAAACGAGAACTGAGCTTTACTGAGCATGAGAACAAGTGTCCCTCGAGCAAGGGGATAAAACAAGCTGAGAAATAAGGAGGTAGGAGAATGTGAGATAGGAGGAATACAGGGAAAGAAAGGAGGAGAGGAAGAAGAAAAACAGAGGGAGAAGAAAGAGGAAGAGGAGGAGAAACCTCTAGAGCAGATAAATCCGAACTCATTATGGAGAAAGGAAGAACAATCTTGGTTTTTACTGGGTGGGCTGAGACTGCTCCCCTATCTCTCTGCACATGCCAAGATTTGACAGGAGACACTTCCAAACGTTCCAGTCTCCTGATTTCCTCTATCCTTGCCATCCACAATCACATCTATTGTTCTTCAGTGCCCCTGAAAAAACTTTTTTCAGAATTTGAAAATAATACTGGCTATTCTTCATCCCGTGTTTATTCTCCCCATTTCTTTATTGAAATCACTTTGTTGAAGTATAATTGGCACACAAAAAGCTATACGTATTTAACTTATACATTTTGATGAGTCTGGAGGTAAGTGTACACTGCACTCATGAAACCATTATCGCAACCTATGCCATAAACCTATCCACCTCTCAAAGTTTTCTCCCACTGTCTTATTTAATTTTTTTATATCAAATCTTATTTAAAGAATGCTTAGCATAAAATCCACTCTCTTTGCAATTTTTGAAATACACAACACAGTACTGTTAACTATAGGAACTGTGTTGTACAGTAGATTTCTAGGACATATTCGTGAGAGTATAGTCTCTTCAATAAACATATTGGGAAAACTAGATATCTCCATGCAAAATAATAAAATTGGATCTTTATCTTACACCATACACAAAAATCAAATGGATTAAAGACTTAGTTAAATCTAAAACACGGATTAAATCTAAAAATGGATTAAAGACTTAAATCTAAAACATGAAACCATAAAACTCTTAGAAGAAACATAGAGTAAAAAGCTTCTTGACATTGGCCTTGGGAAGGATTTCCTGGATATGATGCCAAAAGCACAGGCAACAAAAAGAAAAATAAACAACTGGGCTGCAGCAACCTAAAAAGCTTCCGTACAGCAAAGGAAACAATCTACAAAATGAAGAAGGAGCCTACAGAATGGGAGAAAATATTTGCAAATCATACATCTGAGAGTCAATATTCTCCCCATTTCAATAGGCATAGCCCTGCTGTGATGAATTCAACTGTCTTACTCAAACTTAATCACTCCCAAACCCAGGCTAAGTCAGTCCCTGCCCAGATCAATCTCACATACACCTGATTGAATGAGATCCCCACTTTAGGCAAACACTTAACTACAACTCAAGCCCTGTCTCTTCTGATAACGACCCAAAGCCCAATTGTAAAACATACAAACATAACACTATCCAAGCCAACCAACCCCAGTTCACAGCATCAATCTAAAATACAGCCCAACTACCAACCTCTCTATACCCCAGCTCCCAGTTCCACCAACTCTACCCCCAGATCCATTCAAGAATAAAAATACCATTTCCTCTCCAGACTATACCAAAACATCTGTTCAGCTCAATCCTATAAATACAATTATTCACCCCATGCTCATCCCCACTCACTTTCTGGATATTACCCTATCTCTAAGGTCTTACAACAGCCCCACCTCAACTCACTATCCAACTCCAAACTGCTATATTCCTCCTACAGCTCCTCAACTTGCATCCAGTCTCTCACCCCTAACTCATGAATTAAGCTCCCATCCCAATGACAGCACTACCTAAGATGTTTCGTGCTTAGGCTAGCCACTATGCCAGGAACAACCTCTTAAATTTTTCTTGACAGAGCAGAACCAGTGGGGATCTTTGCATGAGATTAATCTTGGGGGTAACATCTATAACCCATCTGAAACCAGAAAAGACTTTAGGTGTTGCCCATTATATGTGAGTACGAGTCATTGCAGAGGTCACCAAGACACCAGTACCACATGCAAGACCCCAGAACTTTGAGAGAGGCCTGAATTACCTGGAATCTTTTGAGCCAGGATCATAAGGATGACAATGGTCATTAAACAGGGCTTCATGACTGACACGTTCCAACAGAATGAACGGCTGTGTTGCAGGTGACTGAATAGAGATCATTGTAGCAAAGCAGGGGCCCACCTTTATTAGTTTTGGAAATGGGCCAGGGTTGTGTGCAGTGAACTAAAAGGGATGGGAGATACCTGAGGTCAGGCAGACAGAAGGACAACATGGATCATTTATCTGAGCTGGATACTCTGCGTAAATGCGGGAGACTTGCCAGCAGTGCTCATGCCTGGGTGGGCCTTTCTTCCCATTAAGAAACAGACAAATTAGACAGTTGGCATTTTGTGTGAGAAAAATTTAAATGAATCAAGCACTTGAAAAGCAAACTTGAAAAAACTTATAAATAATTATATAAGAAATAAATAATTGCTTTTAACTGTAGTCACCATGCTGTGCCCACAGAACACCAGAGCGTACTCCTCCTTTCTTACTGAAAGTTTGTACCCATTGACCGACATCTCCCCATCCCCATCCACCCTTACTCTCAAGGCTCTGGTAACAATCATGCTAATCTCTACTTCTCTGAGTCCAACTTTTTTAGATTCCACATCTAAGTGAGATCATGCAGTATTTGTCTTTCTGTGCCTGGTTTATTTCTCTTCACATAATGTCTTCCAAGTTCATTTTTTAAAGTCTGAATAGTGCTCCAGCATCTATAGTTAATAATAAGGTAAAGAGCTGAAAGAAAGATTTTAAATGACCTCATCACAAATAAATAATAAATATTTGAGGTGATAAACATGCTGATCTCTTAATTAATTGATTCCTTTATTATTATATAATGACTGTCTTTGTCTCACTTTGTGGTTTTTTACTCGAAGTCTATTTTTTCTGTTATAAGAAAAGCTGCTCCTCCTCTTTTCTGGTTTCCTTTTCCATGGGACATCTTTTTCCATCCCTTGACTTTCAGCCTATTTGTTTCCTTAAAAGTGAAATGAGTCTCTTGTAGGCAAAATATAGTTGGGTCATTTAAAAAAATCAATTCAGCCACTCCACATCTTTCAGTTGGCAAATTGAATCCATTTACATTCAAAGTAATTGTTTTTAGGCAAAAGAACTTACTTTGCCATTTTGTTAATTCTTTTCTGGCTATTTTATACATCCTTGGTTCCTTTCTTCCTCTTTTGCTGTCTTTGTTTGTGATCCCAGCTACTTGGGAGGCTGAGGCAGGAGGATCACTTGAACCCAGGAGGCAGAGTTTGCAGTGAGCGGAGATCACGATTCTGCACTTCAGCCTGGCCAACAGAGGGAGACTCCATCTCAAAAAAAGAAAAGAAAAAGAAAAAAATATATTTGGCTAAATTAAATCAAGCCACTGGCTTACAATGACCCAGAGCCTTAGTATTTGTTCTATGAAAGTTGAGGTTAACTCCCTTTAACAAGCATGGTATTTCTCCTTTTTGAGTTAATGTTTAGAAGGGCTATGTTTAGCAGTGAAGCCTGGCCTGTTACTTAACACAATGGAAAACACAAAGGTTATCATTTCCCTAGGCTCATTACGCCATCATGTGGCCAAATGATGGAATAATCCCCCTGAAAAGGTGTGTTACTCAGACTAGGAGACAAATCCACACGGAATTTATCCAATGGCAGGCTAGATTATCATAGTGCTGAGAAGTACACTACCAGGTGTTACTGATAACTCACATCACTATCACAGGAAGGAGCAACACACCTGGATAGATGCTTTACATGAGAGAAAAGCCTTGGTGACTGAATAGACTGTAACTCTATTATTAAAGTTACAGTCTCCAGAAAGTTTGACCCATCATTATGTTTTGAGACTTGTCCATGTTGTGTAGACGTAGCAATTGTTCACTCATTCTTATTATGGCATAGTGTTCTACTACCATAACTAACTTATCCATACTACTGATCATAAGCATTGGGTTCTTTCTAGTTTGAGGTCATTATAAACAATGCTGCCTTGAACATTCTTGTTCATAACTTTTTATCTACATATATAGGCCTTTCTATCGGGGAAATTGAGAGGTCATAGATATGCATATGATCAGCTTTTTAATCTTCTGTCAAATAGCTTCCCAAAGTGGTGTACCATTTTAATACACCCCCACTGACACTTGATATTGTTAATATTCATTAATTTTAGCTAATCTGTGTGTGAAATGGCAGCTCATTATGGTTTTAATTTGTATTTCCTTAAGGATCAGAATCTGAATGTTTTCACATGTTTATGGGTCATTCGGATGTTCTGTTCAACACTTCGGCTGCTTTGTTCTTGGAATCTGTGTCTGAGTTTTTCTTAATGAATTGTAAAAATTCTTTATGTATTCAACACACAAGATCTTTGTTGGTTATATGTTTTGAAAATAGCTGCCATAATTTTGTGGCTTAACTTTCCTTTCTCTTAACAGCATCTTTTGTTCAACAGACATTCCTAATTTTAATGAAGCATAATTTATCAATCTCTTTCTTTATAGTTGGTACATTCTGTGTCTTAAGAAATCTTTCCTTACCCCAAGGTCAAAAACGTATTCTCCTATGTTTGTTCCAGAGACTTCATTTTTTTATTATTATTATCTACATGGAACTGATTTTAGGTGTGAAAGAAAGACCAACTGATAACTGATAACCATTTATGGAAAATACCATCCTTCTGCCATTATTCTATTGTTCTACTTTCTCATATAATCTTATATGACTAGAACAATTTTTAAACTCTCTACTGTGTTCCCTAGTTTCTTTACCTCTGCATCAGTAGTACATCTTCTAATTACTATGGCTTTATAATAAGTCTTAATACCCAGGAATGTAAATTCTCTAACTTTGTTCTTCACAATTATATTGGCTATTCTTGGCCCATTTATTTCTATAAATCTTTGAGTTTGTTTATTGATTTCCACAATCTGTGGAATTAGCTCCTCCTTTTTAGTCCTTGAACTTATTTCTTATTTTTTCCTAAAAACAAGGGCAAGCCCTCCCTCCACTGTTGCTATAAATATTTGCATTATTAACGAGAGTCCTTAGGTTTTTTTCCCATTTTAAAGGGACTGTACCTAAAGTTCCTTGAATAAATCTAACATTTGCCACAAAATTTTGGCATTTAATCTTTAGCATGTTTGATAGTTCTCATCTCTTCCTAATTAGCTAAGATATTCTACTATACTTAATTTTTGAAATTTATAAAATATTTTCTATGTGTCCTTTAAGAATCATATAATTCTTAATTAAGGTAAAGATTTACATTGTTAGATTTTCTGACATTACTCATCCTCATATTTTCCAGATAGATCTTAATTGATTATACAGGAAGTATATTTTTAACACAGTATTAAGTTCCATTATTTACCATTTTATTTTGGATTTTGGCATATACATGCAGAGGAGACACAGCTTATTGTTTCCCTTCTTTGTTGTTCCTACCTGCCTTTGAAGTCAAGATAACACTAAACTTCTAAGGTCATTTAGGCTGCTTTTACAGTTCCTCTATTTTCTGGAGCAAGTTGTGTAATACAAGAATTAACTTTTCCTTCAAAGTTTGCTAGATCTAAGGGTATTATAAAATTCTTCTATAATTTATGTAACTAGGACACATTTAAGAATAAAGGGGACATTATTAATAATTATTCCAAGACAAAAGAACATGAACTATTTTAAGCAAAGCAAAACAGAACTCAATGTTAATACTTTATGAGTCGGTACTTAGTGGGAGGAGAAGGCCTGTCAGTACCATTTCAAGTGTTTTTATGCTTGGTTGATCTTCTCAGGTTTGTGCTTTTTCCAGGGCTAGTCTTGATAGATTGTATTCCTTGAGGTATTTTTCAAATGTATTATGTATATTTGTTCATCATAGAGTTTTATTATTCTTAATATATGTTGTGCCTATAGTTATGTTCAGCTTTTGAACTATTTTTAATTATTTCCATTTTCTTTTTTCTTGATAAGATTATCAAAAATCTGTTTATTTTATTTATCCTTAGGAAAAATTAAGATTCCAGTTCTGTTATTTATATTCCAGGGGGTTCGTGGTTATTGTAGTCCATTGGATTAAATTCAGTGAAATGCCTGAACTTATTATGTCATTCCTCTTGATTTCTCCAGATATCCCCTTGCCCCTTTCCAACTATCTAAAATTTAATGCTTAGTTAATTTTCAAACTAATATTATTACAAGAGTGGTATATTTTATTGTATATTAAAATACAGATAAGCAAAAATTGAAATAATAAAAACACTATTATCACTATTACCTAGAGATTGCCACAGTAACATCTTGCTGTATATTACTAGATCTTTTTCTATACATAGATTTTATTATAATGAAATCTCACTACACAAACTGTAGTCCTTGACTGAGTCAATAAATTCTTTAGGCATTGCAGAATACAATTCAGTAAAATAGAGTTTTCCCTCATCAACTAGAGCTAGTTGATTACTAGAAATACAGTTCTTACTGGAGAGGCAGGATAAATGCCTAATTCTTTCAGATTACCTATTGGTCTTCAAAGTAAGTAGTTTGCTTACTAGCTGCTTCAAATGGTGACATATGAGTTTTTCTGGTTATCCCATCTCTGAGTATCTTTAGGCAATCATGTCTTTTCATTGGTTCATTGTATTCCAATCCATTTTATTTGTTATTATTTCTGATGCTCAAATTGTTATAACTTTATCGAGTAGAAATTTTCTCTGGTTAGATTATATATCCCTGTACATGGCCCATTCCTTTTTTAAAGTTTTGATGACTTCTGCACAAGAAAATGTCCTGGGCTCACTCTGTAAGTCCATAGCACCAGACAAAGGGTTCGGCCATTTTTCTAAATGACCCTGGCTCCTTTGAGTGAAGAGGTGACTTGCAGACCAAAATCTGGGCACTTAGGCTTATTGCTAATAGTGTGCTATTGGTTCTAGTCAATTTAAGTTGGCAAAACTGAAATATTTACATTTTAATGCTTGTGAGGTTTCTGGATTCTGTTTAGCCACCTAAATTTAGATCTCTCTACAACACTCCAAAAAGCCATATATATCACATAAATCAATAAGAAAAGCAAATAAAATTATCCATAACGAATGCCTACAATAAAATCAAAAGACAGTTTCCACATATACAATCATAATTTGTCAAGTAACAATGACAAATAAATAAGGCAGAGATTCTGATGTTATTAATTATGTTGACATGTGATATGACTTCCCATGTCACTCAGTCCATGGTCATATTTTATAAATGTTCTTGTCTCTATTTGAGAACTATTTGGATGCAGTGTTCTATATATTAGCTCAATCCTACTAATTAGTGATTACCACATCTATATTCAGAGGAGTATTTCTAAGTTCTGACTTTAATTTTGGATTCATCTGTTTCTCTTCATTTCTGATTATTTTTATTTACATATATTTCCATGCTGTATTAATAAAGCTTCAAAAATGTATTTGGAAAATATATCTTCCCAGTAAGTTGAACATTTTATCACTACGCAGTGATCCTTTTAATCTCAAAAATGCTTTTTTCCTGGAAGTCTATTTCATGTCATATTAATTTAGCTAAATCATTTTCTTTGGGTCAGTGTATTTCCTATTCATTCAACTTTTCTTTATTTTTTTAATCCCAAATATTCATCGCCTAATTTATGTGCAATTTTATCTTATTGTTTTTGGTTCACAAAAATATTATTTTTGTGAGAGTTATTATTATGTGAGCGTTATTCTGTCTCAGTACACTGAACATAGAGCATCATTGTCTTCATGCTTTCATTGTTGGTACTGAAAAAGTTGTTGTCAGTCTAGTATTTGCTCCCCTGAAAGTAGTAGGTTCTTTTTCTCTAGCTTGTTTTAGATCTTCTCCTTGTTTTCATTATTCTGCGTTTTACCTATGTTCTATCTACATGTAGCATTTCTCATAAATTTACCCTGGTTTGGATTATTAGGGTTTTTTTTTTTTTTTGAGTCTGAAAGATTGGTGTCTTTCATCAGTTCTGTGTAAGTTCTCAGTCATAACTTCTTCTTCTGCTCCCATTTTCTCTCCTCTTTCCTTCTAGAATTCCAAATAAACATGTTTAGGACTTCTCACTATATTTTCCATGTCTCTTACCTTTCTTTTAACTTTTTAAATCTTTTTGCCTATCTTTGCTCAATTCTGAATAATTTCTTCTGAATAATCTCTTAATTCAATAATTCTCTCTTCAGCTATATCTAACGTAATGTTGTTAAATCCAAGTTTTTATCTTCATCTTATTTCAAGTTATTTCTATTCATTTTTCAGATCTGCTTGCTTCTTTTTTTTAAATTTTTTGTGATGGGGTCTCACTCTGTAACTGAGGCTGGAGTGCAGTGGCATAATGTCAGCCCACTGCAACCTCCCACTCCCCAGCTCAAGCAATCCTTCCACCTCTGCCTCCTGAGTAGCTGAGACTACAGATGTGCACCACCACACCCAGCTAATTTTTTGTATTTTGGTAGAGACAGGGTTTCGTCTGTATTAATTAGATTCTCAGCTTTAGATTTTTCAGATCACCAGAATGCCATGATTCAGGCTATATACTAACTGA